GCTCTGTCTCTCTCAAAAATATATAAATAAATGTAAAAAAATTAAAAAAAATAAAATTTTGCCATTTGCAACTACATGGATGGAACTAGAGGGTATTATGCTAAGCGAAATTAGTCAGAGAAAGAAAAATATCATACGACTTCACTCATATGAGGATATTAAGATACAAAACTGGGGCGCCTGGGTGGCGCAGTCAGTTAAGCGTCCGACTTCAGCCAGGTCACAATCTCGCGGTCCGTGAGTTCGAGCCCCGCATCAGGCTCTGGGCTGATGGCTCAGAGCCTGGAGCCTGTTTCCGATTCTGTGTCTCCCTCTCTCTCTGCCCCTCTGCCGTTCATGCTCTGTCTCTCTCTGTCCCAAAAATAAATAAACGTTGAAAAAAAAAAATTAAAAAAAAAAAAAGATACAAAACAGATGAACATAAGGGAAGGAAAGCAAAAATAATATAAAAACAGGGAGGGGGACAAAATATAAGAGACTTAAATATGGAGAACAAACAGAGGGTTACTGGAGGGGGTGTGGGAGGGGGGATGGGCTAAATGGGGAAGGGGCACTAAGGAATCTACTCCTGAAATCACTGTTGCGCTATATGCTAAGTAATTTGGATGTAAATTAAACAAAATTAAGAAAATTAAAAATCTAGGTGGGAAAAAAAGGGTACGAGACTTAAAAATGAATTTATGCTTGAAAGGCAGAATTTTTTAACGAGACAAACATATCAGGTGGGCCACATTCCAAAGGTGGAAGGACGTGGTCTTGCCCATGGCTGGGAGGAAGCCTGCGGTGCTCCCTGGGTTACCCCAGGTGCTGCCTTCCCTCAGGTCTCAGGACAGCAGCCAGACTGTGGCCCAGTCACCAGTATCTCAAAACGGCAAGACATTCAAACGGGTGCAGGAGCTACACGGAGGAAGAAGCAAAGAGAGAAAAATGAAGGGACGACGAAAAGGGAGAGAAAGTAGTGGCACGGGAGAGAAAATGACAAAGAGACACAGCAAGCAAAGGAGGGTACAAAACGAGAGAGAGAGAGAGAGAGAGAGAGAAAGAGTGCCCGCAGGCTCCAAGAAAACGTGAGAAACACACTTGGAAGGCTCCAACGACCTAGAAGGCATTTGGCGCCCCCATTATCATCCGTATTCCCTGGAAAAGAGGTTTTCGGTGATGGAAAGCCGAGAGAAAGACGAATTACCGGTGAAGAATGATAAAGGTCTAAAACCTACTCACACTGAGAAAGGGGAGTGTGCTTCTGTTACCCCTCATTTACGGCAAGGCCCAGATCTCAGGAGACGAGCCTCGCACGACGTTCACCATGTGGACTCGCTCACTCGGCCCTGCGTTCCGAGAAGCTGTAGAAGCCTGAGGGGAGGCCCCGGGTGCAGTGAAAGGAGGGGGAGCACGAGCTGCACAGAGCGCTCGTTACCGTGAGCGTCGCCCGTACACCGGGAGGCCGAGACAGTCCCACAGGAGGCCGTCCCCGCTGCCCGTGCGCCGCTCGCTCACTCTGCTGGAACTTTCAAAGACGACAGTCTACTCATCCTTCACGTGTTCGCATCTACCTGACACTCTGCAGAGTCTGGAGTCGCTTCCGATTTCTTTCCAGTTCTAATTTCCTCTTCTCGATTTTGGCTTCTAAATTAGCTTCGTCAGAGGCCACGTTATTGAGCAGGTCTTTAGTCTTCTGAACCTGTGCCTACGGTGAACAGGAAGTGAATGAGGCGGGTGCCAACAAGGAACACCAACCCGACTCTCGGCAGAGAGGGACTTCGCGACTCGGCAGGCACCGCGACACAGGAAAGCAGAGTCAGCGAACAGGGCAAAGCCGCCCCTGGCCATCACTCAGTTAACCAACTCGTTGCAGAGGGAACGTCACACAGGCCCAGAAAAAAAATGACCGTCCTTTTTCCACGAGAAGAGGTGGTTTCTTGCCAGGGAAACAAATGAAGACGGAAAAAACAGCGTCCTGGGCAGAGGGGAGAGGCTCCCAAGGCCTCCTGCGCAGCTCACTTGTTTAGACTGGTCACCCAGCTACTGCTCTGAGTTGGTAGTCTGCCTCTGTTTACACCGGTCAGGTTACTCCCCTGCTTACAAACATCTGACTCACAAAATGTGTGCACACGCAAGCATGGCTTTATTTAGAAGGCGACAGAAAGAAACCTTAGGGGGTCCCAGCCCTAATCCTGCCTGCTGGGACCGAGACAGAAGGCACCTCTTCTCTCCCCGGCAAGTAAACCTCGACTACAGACTAAAACAGAGAAACTACCGCGTGAAGGCAGTGCGAAAGCGGCCCCCTCAGCGGACCTGGCCTTCGGGCCGGAGCGGGGGTAGCAGGGCCTGGGAAAGAAGGCAAAGTGAAAGAGAGAGATCACGGACAAACCGCAGGCCTCCCTGTTGTCTCACGCCGGTCTGGGAAGCCGGCCGGGCCGGGCCTGGGCTCCGAGCTGCCATCGGCCGCAGCAGGAATGGTGTCCGGGAGCGTGGGGCTGCCTCCCAAGTTCTGACGTCCCAACTCTGCCTCACGTCCCCGACGCCCAAGGCGGGCTTCTGCCCACCAGGACCCCACACACGTGTCCTCACCCACGAAGGCCTCGTGTCTGCTCACCTGCAAGTCTATGACACGCTGTGGGGTCCACAAAGAAACCCTCTAAGGAGCGTGGACACTCCGTGACTGTCAAAGACTATATATCTTTGGAAGCAACCACCTCTATTGTTTATTTATGGTTTCATTTTTTTCTACTAAGTACACTCATCATTTCTAAGGTGCTTTCATGAAAATAATCTTATCACTATCCATTTGCTGCAAGTGCTTTAAAAATCCCAAAAGAGATCTAAACTCACCCACAAGAAGACAAGGGGAGTTTCTAAACAAAAAACTCAAGTTGATGGCAACTATTTCTCTGACTCAAAGTCAGATTAAGCCTAGTGCATTTATCTGACTTCAAGAATAAAAACAACTTGGGGCCCCTGGGTGGCTCAATGGTTGAGCATCCAATTTCAGCTGAGGTCATGATCTCGCAGTTCATGAGTTCCAGCCCCACATCGGGCTCTGTGCTGACAGCTCAGAGCCTGGAGCCTGCTTCGGAGTCTGTGTCTCCCTCTCTCTCTGCCCCTCCCCCACTTGCATTCTGTGTGAGTGTCTCTCAAAAATAAAAAAAACTTAAAAAAAGAATAAAAACAATTTTTTAGGGGCGCCTGGGTGGCTCAGTCGGTTGCACGTCCGGCTTCGGCTCAGGTCATGATCTCACGGTTTGTGAGTTCGAGCCCCGCGTCAGGCTCCGTGCTGACAGCTCAGAGCCTGGAGCCTGCTTCCAATTCTGTGTCTCCCTCTCTCTCTGTTCCTCCCCCACTCGTGCTGTCTCTCTCTCTCAAAAATAAATAAACATTAAAAAAAAAATAAAACAAAACAATTTTTTAAAGGTA